GTGGCGAAATCGACAACTAATTTTTGAACATGGAGGAAACAAACTCCGGTATCTCACGTAAAATGCAGCTAATCATATTACTTTTATTTCCATCCGTTTTTCTCTAATTGATTTCGAAATCGTCGCTCATGTTAGAGATATCCATTATTTCTTTTGAAATATTTGTAAAAATTCCAAAACAAGTCTTTTTCTTCTTTCGTTTTTAAAAAAAATTAATAATGCTGCATAATTTACTCATTTTTTTTTTTAGTTCACTTTTTTCTCCTTTACAAATTTTTATTGTCAAACTTTGTAAAGCAAGCGTCTGAGTAAAATCTATCAGCTGTTTGGTCCATTTGGTTTCAATATAATCTTGATGTTTCTTTTTTTCTTTTTATACTACACATTCCGAGTTTGCTTTTACAAAATTTGTTTATAAAATAAGCGGGTTGCAATGGCTCAAGGAATAGAGTGCTCGTCTTCCAATTAGATGATCGAGGTTCAAACCCTGACGATGGCTGCTATATACGCATTCTGCTCCCGGCTCGCATCGACCACCGTGGTGATGCAAACTATTCTCCACGGTAGACGCACCATGGGTTAGAATCCCATTGCCATCGGGTTGACGGTTGGAGAATTTCATAGTTTCTCTTTCTTCGTAACGCAAATGCTGTTTGCTTCCATCGAAAAGGCCTCAATAAAGGTTAGTTTCTTCCAATCCAAGAGTTCCAATCCACTTGTTTTCAGGGTCTGATACAAAATCACAAGACTACGGGGATGAACATTGATAGTCGTAAACCCAAAAATGGGTCGACGTTTCAACGTCGATTATAAAATAAAATATAAAGTAAGCCTCCCATTCTGTAAAAATAAAGTAAAAAAAAAATATACTCTGATTCATAATTAATTTTAAAACTTCTAAATGATCTAAAAATATTTTGAAAGGTCAGAAAAAAAAAAGCAATTTTTTTAAGGCACACTTATTAAATTTATAACAACTTTTTAAAGCGAGTGGAAAAAAAAAGAAAAAAGAAACACTTCCCCGAAATCTCATTTTAGTAAAATAATCACCATGCCCCGCATTTAATTATACACGGGCTAAAATAATTTCGAAATGAACTTCAGCCGATATTGATTTCAAAAATAAAGTGAGGGACAAGCTGTGTAAATCACTCGACGTTTTTTCTCGTTATTAAATTCCCAATATTCAATGGCATCGAAAAGGAAAACTAAAAGACCTTAAATTAATTTGCAGGGGGATTAAGTATTGCAACTTCAGTAAGGAGTTCCATTAAACTGAAGGCGAATTAACTTACACCAGCTGGCAATTTCGCCAAGCCTTCACTTTTTTCCTATTTATATCATTTTTTAGAGACATAAGTTAGTCCTATTCATGTTTAAAGTTGGTGGATTAATCAAGATAAAAAAAAAATGTGCCTCAGCCCCCAGCTGATTTTTAGGGTGGGGCTGAGACTGCTTGTGTGGGGGACAGGGATCAAATCGATAAAGAGGACTTGGGGAAGGGGATAAAGGTATCAGAAAAGGAAGGGGGGGGGGAGTGGTAGTATAGGGAAGGTCAGTTGACTGAAAGTCCGTGTTAAAGTTTTTTTCTCTTCTTTTTTTAAAAAAAAAGAAAAAGAAAAAAATTTTGACATGCAGGCCATCTGGTGAGGTGGATGGTCAACAGCTTGACTCGACTTGCATTATTACTTTTATGAAAAATTGCAGGAGGGGTCAGCAAATAAGAAATAGTGCAAAAGTTGAATGATTTTTCTTGCATTTTATTTCACTGTTTATTAAAATATCCTCTCGCTGTAGTTGATCAATGGTTACTGCTGCTAAATAAATTGTTTGAAAGTCTCTTAATATGTTTCATTGCTTCAGGGCTTTCCAACTGGCAGCCCGTGGGCAGGATGCGGCCCTCGAAGCCTTTTTTTGTGGCCCGAGAACTAAAATATTTTAATTGTCATTTTTGAAACCTAATCTCTTCGTTTCTGTGAAATTTAACATACCAACGGTGAGAAAAAATTTATTTCTCAGGTTTTGCACCCAAGAAAATATTTATTCAAATACAAAAATAATCGTGTATGTTGTTCTTTTTTATTTCGTTTCTTTGTGTTTTGTGAATATAATTTAGCATGTGCGTATTAGAAATTTTCTCGAAGAAATTCTATGATTTAACTTTTTGAAACCACGAACTTTGGACGAAATTATTTACTTTTGTATATTTTGAAACGCATAAAGGAGGTAATGAATATCATATTTATTTAAATTCTTAGAATCGAATAGGGCGTGAGCGGAAAAAAAAAATATTTTTAGATGCTCGAGAAGTTTTCTTCTTTTCTGCTTTAAACCATAATAAGTCTGGAAAAAAATATCAATTTATCACAGAATTAAATTTAAAAGAAGAAAAAAATTCCTGTCACTATGTTTCTAATTAAGAGAAGATTCAAAATGATACGTAACAAAATGATTTGTAATGCTTGTTATTTTGCTTTTTAATATTAAAAAAACTATATTTGAAAGCAAAATATAATCCTTATTTTATTAAGTTCCCATTCGAATGCAAGTACAACAGACAAACCTCAATTCTCTCATTGAATATTTTGTGTAGCACTAGGTAAGTTTTAATACCAACCTTTTTAAAGTTTTATATCCTAACAATTTGATATCTGTTGCACATTAATTGTTTAATACATAGGTGCACATTAAAGTTATTGTAGCCAGAATTTTTAAAATATGCAATTAAATATTTTTAAAAATCTACTTCTTATTTTAATTTGCAATTCAGTATTTTTGTTTTGTACAACTTGATAAAAATCTGACAGTAATATTTAATGTTCCTTCTAACATAAAAAGAGCCCCATATAAAATTTTGATAAAGTTGCGGCCCGCCATTTGACTGGTGTCTTTAATTGTGGCCCCCAAGCTCACGGAAGTTGGAAACCCTTGGCTTAGATGTACCGTTTCCGGGTGCCCGGTGAAAATTGAATACTTTATACAGTCGGTTTAGGGTACAAGCTAAAATTTAGATTTTTCACCCTACCGGTTCCGGGTATCCGGATGGTTGTACAAAAATTAAAAACGATTTTTGCCTTTATCTATAACAATATAAATTCGTAAAATTTTCAATCGGACAAATATTTTTTAAGATGTAGCTATAAAGAAACTTATTGCTCTCCCATATAAAGAAAAAAATTTGTTCTTATTTTTAATTTTTTCTTAGAATGAATTTAAAAAAAAGTTTCTAACCGAAATAAGTTTAGAATTTATTAATACAGATTTCTTTAAACGTAAGTTATTTTAAAAATATTTTTAAAAAGTTGAAGGTATATAGAATGAAAAATGTTTTAATAACCATGGTTTAATTTTTGATCATACGATAAGTACAAAAGCAATTTATGTACTCTGAGATTTATCTTTGTAAAATCTTTTAAACTTTCAGATGCTCAGTGAGAAATTTTTTTCTCTTTGCCAATGTTGAACCGAAGATTCACAAATCTGTTTAACTGTATTTAATGTTAGGACTATCTTCGCATCCCAGTAATTGTGAAGATAAAGTAATTCTTAGATCAAGGAACGAAGAAAGGCAATTTACTTTTAAACCAAACTTTTCCAATGAATTTTTTTTTAAAAGTAAAGAAATAAAAAAAAATCTAGAAAACCTTTCATTGCCTGCCCGAAGGTAAGTAAACTTGAACCAGACTTGTTGGAAATCAGATTTTTGCTGTTTACGAGACTTTCTATTGAAGTCTTTAGTTTAATCAGTTTTATTCTTATACGTTTTTTAAAAATATAAGCGTTAAATCAATTTATACTGAAAATGCAATAAAGTATTACCAAAAGATTTCTTTGTCAAGGTATATAAAAATGAATAGATATTTTTTTTTTAAATAATAACTATTCTCAAGAAATTTTATATCTATTTTTGTAAAAACAATTGTCTCGATTTTAACGTGTACTCTTATTTTCTTGGAATTTAATCTGTAGTGATTTTTCAATCATTATAGCAGCATAATCATTTGTCACTTATGTGTCATTTGTTCTGTTTGCAATTGTTGTTTATTATACTTTTATAAAATGGCTACAAAACTAAACAATAAAGACATCTTATTGGATTTACTAATTTGATATAAGCAAATTGAATAAGAGAATAATACACATATTTCGTATTTTTCAACAGTCATCTTTGAATTTTAATCATTATGCTTTTATTAACTTTAAATAAATATCCATGTAATTCCTTATTTTTAATTTTGTACTTGCATAACTATCATATTTATTTAGTTAAAAAAATTTAGTTAAAAGTTTAAAAACATGGTAGACAAATCATCGATTATAATCCCCTTGCTATTGGAGTTGCCGTGGAAAGTTTTTGTGGCTTTCCTCTCCATGTAACACAAATGCCGGTTAATTTCATCAAAAAGTTCTCCATGAAGGCTGGCTTGTCCCACTGCTGTATTCAGGAGTTTCATTGTCTTCTGGGTTGGGTTCAAAATGACAAGATTACGGAGTTGAATATTGAGAGTCGCAAACTCGGAATTGTATCGGCTGTTTAACGCCGTTTATAAAATAAAAAGAAAAGAAAATATGTAGAATTGTCTGATTATCTCAATATTTTATAGCCCATATGGAGTTTATAATATTTGTCTAATTTTGCCCATATCTTTGAGCCCCTATTCAGCCCCGAAAGGATCTATATTTAACTGTCCAATATTCTCTTGGTACATTGGGGCAAATTTCTGTTTTTGTAGGACATTTATATGGTCAAAAACTGAAGAAAAGAACAACAACAAACTATTATTTACAAAAAGATCATATTTCTGTCAATTCAGGGTAAACACTCTACTGTTACATGGTTCTTTGTTGCAAGCGTCAATAACAATCAAAAGGAGAACATTATTATAATTTTTCTATAATTAAATTTCCTCCCATTCGCAAACGATAATTATATTGACTGTACCCATTCATCCAAAAACACTCTTATCTGTTGCTTTCTTATTATATTCACTTTATTTCAGGTATGACATTGAAATTACGGACTGAAATGAAAAGTCGTCTGCAGTAGAATCTCATTTGTAGACTCAGCCACTTTCAGACATCACCCTGCGAGGCGCCAAGTCGAGCGGAAAACTCGGGAACACCCATATTAAAACATCGGCTTATTTGGCGAACGGAGGTTATAAAATTCATTAATGTTTGTTATCACTAATCAAGGCCTTTGTACATGAAATAAAAAAAAGAACAAATTGCTTTCTTTCTTTTTTTCGTTCGAAAACTTTCTTTCATCAAACCCTAATTAATGATGCGGGAGTATTATGATATAAATGAGGCACTCGGAGTTTTGATTAGAAATTACGGCATGCGAAGACTAATGTGATCGGAAAATTTTGCTCGTTAATTTAGAGCATTAAATTCGAAAAATGTGTTGTGATATTAAAGCAAACGATAAAAAAAGAATCATAATTGCAATAACTAATTTTTATTTATTTATTTTTAATTATGATTATTTTTTATTGCGTTTTTATGAGCTCGCTTTCGCGTCTGTGATGATGTAATATTGCATTCGAAATTTCGATTTTCCAACTAGTTAGCATCGGGTAAGATGACAACGCAGAGCTCTTTTATTTCTTTAAGAACTTCATAAGCAAAGTTGGAATGACCAAATAGAATTTACCGTAAATTGAAATTCCGACTAAATTATGACTAGCTAGAAAGCTCAAATTTCAACTGGTGTTCTTTGTCTCATGCCAATGCAAGTAACAATTGATTTCTAAATGGTACACGCAAAATTTATTGCTAACTGAAATCTATTTGATCAACTTTCCGACAAAAGCAAACTAACGGACACAAAACTAATGAAAGAAGAAAGTTTTAATAGACCGAATGGAGAAAACAATTATACCGAATGGAGAAAATAATAAATAACACAGTGCCGTAGGAATAGATGTGAAAAAGTTCTGTGAAATCAAAATAATAATTAATTTACGTGCCTCTTTTATGCACAGATAAAAAGTTTCATTCATATATATTGCCAGAATGATGCCGTGAGTTTTCTTTGTTAAATGACATTCTGACGCAACTTTTACATTGAACGCGTGGTGAGAAAGTGCCTACTTTTAGTGCCGAGGTCTACCTATTGTTTTAAGGTCTGCAAAGTACTGACCTTACAAATTTAATCATCTTCTTTGTCGCATAATTCGAATTACAAAAGGGTTAATTATCGTAGCAATATTTTTGTCACATTTGAGTGATAAAATGCAACCGATTTGTCCATGGAATTTTTCTTTTATTTATTATCAGTAGCTTTGCTCCCTAGATTTAGAAACATACTTGTATTTATCTATTGATTGGTTAATTTAATGCTACTTGTATTGGCTATTTGTATACTTGTATTGTTGAATCTTTAGTGCTACTTGTATTCTATATGTATCTGTATTCTTTGGAAGATATGTATTTTATAAATAAAATTACATCTGCTTATTATTGATTTAAATCATAAGCTTATCAATAGATATATATTAAATTTAACTAAAATATTAAAATTATTTATTTGTAAAAATTTGACTTATTAAATCATCAAAAGCATCATAGTGTTTTTTTTTATTTTTATTTATTTTTATTTTTTTTGTAGAAGAAAATATTTTCATGCTTTCTTAACATTGTATCCATGCATATTACCGAAAAAGTTACAGTTCGAGGAAAAAAAAAAAAAAAAAAAAAAAAANAAGAAGAGCGAAAAAAACCCTTTATCAATTTTCTACATTTTATCGTCTGCCAAATGAAAAGATTTCATCAGTTCAAATCTTTGCATTACTTTGATGTCGGCAATTGGCAACGTTCAGGGTTGGAAGGGGATTGATTAAAACTGACATCCCCCTTCGAGTCCCTATTAATCAAACATCCAGTAGATTGATATTCTGTATAACTGGAGGAAAATTCCCGTTTGATGTTGCCCGCACTCAGTTCATTTCCGAAATTCGGAATGATAACATCTGATTTCAAAGTTAAAGTCCTTCTTATTAGTTTTATCATCTGATTTCAGTCAGCGTGGCCGGCTTTTCTTATAATCATTAGGAATTATCTTTGAAATAAATGCTATCTTTAAAACAGGGTGGTCAGGTTGTGTTGAAGTTATGTTTACTTGTTAAAATAATTATTGCCATGTAATGTGGAAATTTATTTATTTTTAGAGACACAATCTTATTAATCATGACTTATGATATTAAGTTCTGTTCGATTGATTCCTAGTAAAATTCACGAATCCTCGTTCTAAAGCAGCAGATCCTCTTCGTAGCAAAAACTCTCCAGCACGGCAGCAGGCGCTGCATATTATTACAACATCTGTAGATACTTTTTGATCTAAGAGTTTTAAAAAGCAAACAAATAAATTGGAGAAAATAGCTGAGTATATTCACTGCTATTTTCTTATAGAAATATTTTAAGATTAACTTTCTACGTACACTTCTCTGCACAATAAATGTATAAGAACTATGTATGTTAAGGATAAGGATTGGATAGAATGTAGAATTATGGCACAAAATCTGGAATAAAACAGGTATCTCTTGTTAATGGGGGCATAAATGTTATAGGTGACATTTCGAATCTCCTTATAGGATCGTATTTAGTTAAGTGCTAACTTCAGCAAAATTAATGTTTACACCTGGCAATCGTATTAAGTCAAATGCGTGAACTACGGCACTGTGTTAAAATTAGACTTGTTTTATGATTGTGGGATTAAGATTGTCAGAAGATTGTCAATTATAAATTTGAGATAAATTGATCTAGACTTGAGATAAATTGACCTACCCAAGACTCAATTTATTAGGTCTATTCTAAAAAATTGGATTTATTGGCAAAGACGGATAAACAACTTAAGTTGCCGTCTTTGGCAATATAGCTGTTCTAGGTTATTACTTCATTAAGAGTCATTATAAATCCCTGTTCTTGAATTAATTATTCCTCAGCTTCAAAACTAACAAAATTGATCTGTACTTATTAAAAACGACAAACTAGTTTCACTAATTAGAATGACGAATTATTATTTTTCTCTCTCTTATAATCAGAGGAATATCAATTTGGAAAAAGTCCCCCATTTATCCATTTCAATTCATTCACTTGCTAGAGTTGGATTTAAGTTTAGAGTGGATCAATGATCTGTCAGACAGCTTATGATTAATGTTTATAACCCAGCGATTTATACTGAAGACAAACGCTATTTTCATATCTCACCCTCTACGCATAAATAAATAAATAAAAAAAAAGACTGGAGTAAAAACGATGATTGCGAAATTTGATGCTTTGTTGTAGTCTCAAATCACTCCAATCTTTCTCCTTTCTTCAGCACCCATTTGAGCTATTTTTTTTTATTGTAAAATTGTTGCTACGTTGGCAACAGTAATTTCCATTAGAGATATTTTTATTCGTCTATTTCTGCAGAATTTTTTCTTTCAGATTTGGTAGCTCTTAACAGTTGAAAAAATTGTCCAATTATTGAACAAAAGATATCGTTGTCCTCCGTAGAGGATGCTAATTCATGTTGGAAAGTGAGTCAAGATTGCTTTAATCTAGACATTTTTCACAAGTGATTTATAATACATGCTTCGCATGCTGAGTTATCTACCATTTATTAAAGTTCTGTACGCGTTTAAAACTTAGTAAATAATTAGGAGCACACTGAAAAAATATTTACTTTGTCAGCTCATGTTTGTTTGAGGTATTCGTTAATACGAAATTCCATATTATTGATCAAAGGAAAAAACTTTTTTTTTTAAGTTTAATTTGTTCTTGAAAGCAATGATTGACATTTATAGTAATCCATGATATTTTTTTTAACTTTTGTCCCTTCCCTATAAATTGTAATCGAAGCTAAAATCAATGCTCTACGAAGGACAAAAATTATGAAAGATTAAAAATAAAGTGAAGGCTAAAATTTATTATAATAATTAGTACCATCATTTGGAATCAGGTGTAATTTTAACACGGATAGATAATGCATAAAAATAATATAAACATAGGCTAATATATTGTTATAATAAATTTTTTTTAAGGACAAAAGAAAACTAATTAGTAATTTGATTAATAAAAGTTCTTTTTCGGGTATTAAAAATCTTTTTTAACAGACAAATTTTAAAAAAATAGATTGATTCCTTAATTAGGAAATTTCTCTTTATTAATAATATTTTCACATTTAAACTTTCAAGTTAAATTAATTTAAATGTAATAAAATATCGAAACACATTTTTGAATTTTACATCTATTTACAATAATAAATTTTTATTTAAATTATTGCAATTGATTCTTTAAATTGAATTTAATAAATTTAAAATTCCGAAGAAATTTTAATAAAATAACTTGAATCTAAAAATATTCAAAATATAAAACTAAATTTGTATTTGGTTTAAGAATTTTATTATTTCAATGGAATAAGAAGAATAAGCAAATTCTGAAATGAGTAAATGTGAAACATTATTTTAATACTCGGTTACAATACCAAATAAATATATCATAATACCAAATATTATATATCTGAAAATATAATAATAACATACAATAACAATAAAATACAATAATAATAAAATATGATAGTAATGAAACATAATAAATAATAATATGTATATTATGTATAATATGTATATTATTTGTATATTATATGTATATGATATGTATATTATGTGTATATTATATGTATATGATATGTATATTATGTGTAAAGAATAATATGTATACATGTGTATTAAATTAGCAAAGAAAAAAAAATTAAAAAGTAAATTAATCGACACCTTTTTGATCGTGATTAATGGAACAAGATAATTTTGTATAATATAGAATAATTTCCTGACTTTAGTTCGTAGCCAGCTGACGCATTGCAAATTTGATCAATAAAAAAGAGTGAAACTAAAAATTATTATTTTATGAAGCCAATAAAAGCAAAATTTTTTCGCTAATAATAAGTAGTAACGAGTAACGATAATAATAATGTACACAGATGAATAAAATAAAGAATTGTAGAGGGAGAATACGATAGATAACCATTAACAACGATAGATGGCAGCAGCATATACAAGTTACGTTTTACACTAGTCAACTAAAAGATCATCTCAAAAACTAAATGTCCTAAAGTATATTTTATGATAACGATAATAATAATAATAATTATAATAATAACAGTTTTAAAAGTAAGAATAAATAATGTAAGTAATAATAATAATAATAAATGCCCCATTTTATGACAAGAGAATAGATGGAAT